GTAATGAGCTGATCCTGCACTGTCTGAAGTCCTGAGAAGGCATTGCTCTTTTGTTGTCATCTTGGGTGGCTGTCTCAGTATGCAACTGTTTATTCTTAGCTCCTGGCTGTGTCGTGCTGCTGTATGATGGAGTGGAAGTCTAAAAGGAAGCCAAAAGCAAGGGCTAAAAGTTTGGTGTATCATATGTCAATGTGGAATAAATAATTCGGACAATACTCTTGAAGAAAGGACACCTAAATTATGAATGTGAATGGAGGGTGTTAAGATTTTCAAATCCAGTGTGTCTCTCTTTAAAACACAGCGCAGGCCGTGTACTGCAATGTACCTCCCTGACAGCAGAGCTTAAGAGTATACAGAAAAGATGGTCTGTATGCATGTCTTAAAAATGACTTGTTCCCTATCATATGTGGTTGCAGATTTAACATAAAAAAGATAAAAGTGCAATTCCAAGGTGGAAATGGTTTATTGGTGACATAATTATTAAACAGAATGCAAAGATCATAATAATTTCTTAATGTAAACAATCTCTGAATGAGGAATAGCTAGGTCTAACTATGTACTGATGGGCTGCTATAGATATAATTGGTAATGTAAGTGTAAACTTCTATTGCAAAGATATAATTCAATCTATTGAATTAAATAATGAATTTGGCCCTATGCTCTTCTATGATGAAAGTTTTAAATATTTGTCTGATGGTCTGAATGGGTAAGCTAAGACTTTTGGAGTAGAAGGGCAGGATACTGTCCCTTAAAATCAAACCCTTACCTTTGTTGTTTTCAATCAAAATCAAATTAATTCATTGATTCACTTTCATGAATAGCTATTAAATTCAAACCTGCCTTCTTCATACACTCACTTGTTTTTCCTACTTATGCAGAAACAAGTTCAAATGGAGTTAAATGATAATCAGCGTTGAACTTGACATGCTTTTACTTATGGTAAACCACTTTTTAACACATTTTTTATGTGACAATCCTAACCGTTTAAAATTGTCCAGACAACCTTTTCCCTTTTGCAGTCTTGTCAACAGCTGAGAGAATACAGCAAAATCCTTACACAGGAAAAAATTCAGTTAGCTTCTAACATAACTTGATGGCTGGAAAAAAGATTAGAGCCTGCACTGTACAGCCAGTGAGTTTTGTTTAAAACACAGATACTTAGTCTGAAATGCTAAAAGCATTTTCTTGTTAAAACTTTGTGGTCTACTTTTTTTTTTTTTTTTTAAAGATTGCCTATTTGCAAGTTTAGTAGAATGGATTTTTTATGCCAGATAAGCCATTTTCAATTAATAATATAAATGTCAGATTACATTAGGGGAATATAAGATGAACCTGTATATTCTTCATTTGGTAGAAACAATATTGAAGAAAACCATGTTTTAAGAATTCTGTTTTTTCTTTTTTTAATATATTAATATTTTATAGTGTATGTTGTCTTTGGAATTGGTGGATTGACTGTTCTAAACGCTAGTGTTCTGATTCTCTGTGGAGCTGAAAGGGGAAGGAAGGGGTGACTTTTTTTGCATCTTGCCCGTATTATGTCAGTCTTGCACAGAATCTGGGATCGCTTGACTCATTGATTCAAATTCCCTGTCACATGCCCTCACATCATGTAATGCTTTTCTTAAATTAATCAAGCTTTATCTTTAGACTGACTGACTTTGCTTTTTTCTAGATGTGGATGTGTTGTGCCTGCACAGTTGGTATTTAATGTATCTCGTAAAACTGTTAAAAGAATGCAAAGTTACAGCACCTCTTTAACATATTAAAATGGTTTCAGATAACTATTTTTCTCACGAGGGAAGACTGTTGCTTTCAGTTGCATTAGGTTCAGACTGGTGCTAGTTTGTGCTGTTTGGATTTGTTTTGTTTCTAGATATTCAATAATACTCTGTGCATTCAAGACATTTTTGTGTTAAGGTATTTTCAAAGCAGTTAACGGTTTCAGGGATTGATTCCCGCCCCCCGCCCTTGTGCTTCTCCTAATGCTAGACTTTTCTTGTCTGGAGACTTGATATAGACTATTATAGCAAAGATTGTAAGCATCTGTGATAAACAGGTTTTAAAATCTCATAGTTGTCATCAGTCCAGCATTTTAGAAAGGCATATGGAATCCTTTCCTTAAATTGAGCAATCTGTGAGAGACCAGAGAGAACAGTTAAGTGAAGAAGTTGTATCAAAATTCTTACTCTCATTTCCCCTTTCCCCTGCACTCCAGAAAAGGTTTTGTTTGCTGATGATCATGCCCTTTAATTTTAAAGGAAACTACATAAAGCAGAGGTCTTTTTGGTTCATGGTAAGCCATGGTAATGAGTTACTGCAAGATGATGGGCTGCAGAAAGCATGTTGTATATATAAATACATGAAAGCTGTATGGCATTTCTGTAAGTATTACTTTGTACATAGTTAATGTTAAAAAAAAAAAGGTGTTAGGAAGAAGTGTGCCATTTTTTTCATCCGGGAGAGTATTTTTTATTTAAAGTAGTATGTTTAAATTTAGTCATTTCAGGCACAGTTCATAAGCCTGGACCAAAATATCAACAGTAGGAAATTCATCAGGTAGTTTAGATTTGTAATTTGGTTTTGAACATGCAATAGGTTGTTTCAGGTTGAGTAAATACGGTTTTCTTCATACTATAGTAATTTGATCTTTTCTAGATTTCACTGTGATATCAGGATATTGCTGAATACGATCATGTAGAAACAAACTCTTTCATAGTATGTATGAGCAGGCATTTGCTATTACTGTCTGTTTATTATTATAAGCTCTGAGCAAAGACACTTTCTTGATTTGTTATCTACAGTAGTGATGAAAGGGCTTCTACCATAGCCATGATCAAAACCCATATTCCTATATTGGAACGGAGGAGGAGGGGAAAGGAGTTTACTCCTATAAAACCAAAATAAGCAACAACTACAATTGGGAAAGTGTATTCCTGTAACTTCAAATAAGTTATTTATTCATGGCAAGTGTCAAGATTACACAAACCTAATATATCTTTAATCTCAGAAGGTGTGTCTTACTTCACAGAATTGCATTGCCAAGAGAATTATCCATTCCTTCAGTTCTGTGTTGTCTGAAATAGCCGTCTTTCAAGGTGTGATTAATGTACATTGGCAGTCAATAGGATATGAGTAATTATGGCTAATTCCAGAAGTGAAAATAATGAAGAAAAAGGGCTATGTGTGATGTAGCACAATGGTGTGAGGTTTCTTGCTAAGTGGTGTTTAGCAACTCGTTTTATACAGAGAAGGCATGGCAATGCTTGCATCTTTCTTGAGAGAAGATGTATTTGGTGTTCTACAGGGAAGATGTGACTAAATGACATTTTTCCTTAGACTGTGATTAGCGGTCACTTGCAAATAATCAGCAGTTGCTGCAAACTCCACCCTGCAGTTCCTGTTTCAGTTGCAGGAATATCTAGCTATCTATTTCACATTCAGCCATCATCTTGTGGCCTTTCTGTTTATGGGTCAAGTCTTTTGTGGCCAAAGCTTCCACTAGGAAGCTCGAAATATTTCATGAGAAATATGAGTGGAATCATTGTTTTCACTGTTTTCTTTATTACTGAGTAACTTCAGTCATTGTTTAAGTGTCTATGTTTAAAAATCCTTTAAAATCCATTCATGTGCTAATTAATTCATATATGACATTTGAAAATAAGACAAAGCATCTTATTCTGCAGAGTTCTGGTGCTTAAGTCAATGAGCACAGAGGTGAAATTAGTTTGTTAACTTCAGAGATGCAGGAAGTGATGTTTTAATGATCTTGCATACTGATCTCTAGGAACTTTATAGCTTCTTCTGAACAAGTTCAGCAGTAAACTGTGCCAAAAATCAATCAGATTTAAAACCCAATTATTTTCTAGTAGAAATTAAAAACTATTGTTTTCAAGTATGTGGTGCTAACATTTGTTTTCTTAGTATAATTAATCTTCAAATGAACAAAGCAACCAACATGCATCTTAAAATCTTGAAAGCCCAGTGGTTTCTGGAGGTGGGATGGACGGTGCACGAAGTGCAAATCTGGTAATAGCTAATCACACTCCCTTTTACATAAGTTCTTCCTTTCTAAAAACTGAGGCTTCTGTCGTTTTCATAAGCAATTTTTATACTCTTTTGTAGGATGTGACTTTTTTTAAAGCCACAACACTTTGTTCTGGCAAACAAAATAGGCCTGCTAAATGTAAGGAGATCTCATGCAACTTGCATTTAAATCTGAAGGCAGAAGTGAATGTACATAAACGTGCACAGGCATTTTTGACAAAAGGCCCAATTATGTCTGTACTGGGAAAGACCGTCTTGGGCAATCCTTAGAAGACAGAATTACATTTTGCTTCTGTGAAGTTCTTTGAGATGAGCAATAGAGTTACAGGTGATTTCAGTTTTGATCAAGTACTGATGTAAACAGTAGATTACATTTGAGACGAAAACTCATCACCATGCTAGATTATATTAAGTTTTAAAAAAAGTTAATTGTGGAAGACATGCTAGAATACAGTGACGATAGTACTATGTAGTTCTTCTAAGCAAAGTCATTTATCTTAACATATTTGGATGAAAAAAATCAATGTTTTCTGCATCTCCACATCAATACATTGTAATGATTTTTTCCCACTGCTATGGCAGCTTCATTATTTCATTGCAAGTGCCTCATATACACCAGCAAAGGTAGCATCTCTGATAATCAGGTTACATCTAGAGTCTTCCTAACTTGATAAAATTTTCTCCTGTATTGTCATTCATACATGTATAATACAAAATAAAGCTTCTTCAGTGCTCAGCTTTTAATAATGCTGTTCATAATTAAATATAAATCTGACTAAAACATATTCTTCTACATTAAAGTCTTGTCATAAAAACATTTTGAATATAAACCTTCAGTACTCAGTAGAGCGATACTATACATATACAAACGCACTTTTTTCCGTTAGTAGCAAGCATTTTGTTCACTATTTGCACAACTTCACAGTCGTATGTTTTAGACAACCGCTACTTAATCAGACTTCTGATTGCTCATTACTGTCAGGAATGACAGACGTTAAGGCAGCCTGACAAAAGCGGTGTAATGTTGACATTTTTGTTTTCTGTTCAATATACAGTCGCAGTTTGTCTCTGAAGGTTTCCCCTAGAAAACTGTAAATTAAGGGGTTCAAACAGCTATTAGAAAAAGCTGCTAGGTTCACAATATGTCCTGTTAAAGGATAATCATGTCTGAAGGATGGGCTGCTTGAAGAGACAGGCTCGCTTTTCTTTTGAAGAAGTTGAACACTAATGAAGACATTTTCAGGTAGCCAGCAGATAAAGAAAACCAAGACAACAACAAAAATCATTCTAAGAGCCTTTTGTCGCCGCAGACGAAGACTCCTATGCTTGTGTGCTTTTATAAGAACTCGAACAATTAATGAGTAACAAAGACCGATGATCACAAAAGGGATAATAAACCCCAAGGTTATTTCTAGCCACTGGATTTCTTTTACATCTGCAAAACAAAAATAGACCTCTCCGGTGTGTTGTAAATGCACAGCTGTAAATGGAACTAGTGCTGCAGAAATAGACGCCATCCATATGAGACCACAGCTTAATCTAGCGTGTTGCATAGTGCGAAATATGTTGGACCTCATTACTTTTGCCAGTGCTAAGTATCTGTCAAAACTCATCCATGTCAGAAAGAAAATGCTGCTATACATGTTGATCTGAAGGAACAAAGACATAAAGGTACAAATAATAGTGATATCATAATACTTTTCATCAAGGTTAAAAACCTCAATGAGAGAATCAGCAACTAAAATGAGATCAGCTACTGCAAGATTTATAAAGTAAAGGTCTGGAATAGTCATTTTTTCACGAAAGCTTATGTTGACAACCAGTATCAGAATGTTTCCTACAAAACCAATAGGAAAAAGAAATATCGTGTAAAGACATGATAAGAAAAGACCAATAACATATTGTTGGTGTTCTGATTTATCTGCTAATCTAGAAGATATGCTTTCATTACACAAATGTGATCCATTTAGGTTAAAAGTTGTGCTGTTACATATAACAGGTGATATTGAGGCAGAATAAGTTTCCATGGTTAAAATATCTGCAGAAAAGTTATTAGTACTCACAGTTTGGTGGTAATGCCAAAAAAATCAGCTTTTTGGTTGCTTTCAGCTAAGTTCATAGTAAGCATTTTGATTGGAATGGAAAAAGATGTACACTTTTGTATAGGAATAAAAATTCTTTACAAGTCAAATTAATTAGACTTAAAATTGACTGAAATATAGCAGTACAAATAGTAAGTTTCTTAATGTTTTTTACAGGACACTATATACATTGCAAATGAGAGAATTTGTAGTTCCTGTATGCCTTAAGATGATGTAGGAATCTTTTTACCATTATGGTACTTGGGTCTCTTTAATAAAAGCTTTTCATCAACAGTGTTTCTTCACGCAGGTTGGAAGGTGGTAGAATTTTAGCTCCATTTGTTTTCTTTTAATAATCAATGAACATCCATGGACCTGCAATTTGTAAATAGAAAATGATTAATCTCATACTCCAGCATTGTACCACATGCTTCTGCTAACTTAACATACACAGCTGAGGTTGTAGGAAACATCATGTTTGAATATGTATACAAAAGTTCAGTTAAAAGAATTTATATTTCTTCTGGATGATAATATAATGTGAAGGCAGATCTGTTAAAATTTTGTGTACCCTTGAGGGATTCAGCATTGGAAAATGTAGAAATATAGAAAATCAGATGAGTGAGTTTAGCCTACTGAAGAAAACCTTTATTTTTTTAATATATATGTATAAAAATATATGTATTTATTCCATCATCAGCTTGTAAGGCTATTAAGTAGCAGAGTCTGCGGCTGAGAAGGCAATGGAGATGAAAAGCAGTTCGTTCCTTCTGCTTTCAGTGGGAAGGACAAAGCAAATTTTAGAAATTAAGGTATTACAAGCAACATATTGATTTACACCAACATTATTATACTCAATTTGCTTTTCTTTGTGATTAATTGTATTGCACTGACTTCCAGATAGGAATGGAAAATATTGGTTATCTGATTTGTTTACTTATAAATGTTGAATGCTATGGACTTGAAGCATTGCTAGAAGTTTATTTAAAAGAAAAGCAAACAAACAAAAGACACCCCAAACAAATAAAACAGCAAGAAAGTGATATCTCAGGGTATTTTGTGTTAAATTTAAATATTTTGAATTGCTTTAATCTTCATCTTACCACCAAACCCTTGATTTTAATTACACTAAAACATATTTAAAAAAAAAAAGTTAAATTGTTTACTAGTAAAGTTTATGCATATTCATGCATATTTTAGTGACTTTAATCCTGCTGATACACATTCTGGGGAGAAAAAGGAGCAAACCACTAATGGAGTAGGGGTGTTAAAATATTTTCAGTGAGAAATACAGCTCTGAGTTTGCTTAAATGTGTTCAAGTTATTGGAAGTAGCTGGCAGTACTTAAATAAAGATATCAGTTCCAAAGCTTTTATTTCTTAATGAAATAGGCATAAGTACACAGTAGCTGTTGCTATGTTTTGAATAATTTTCATAATGTAAACCTTTATGCTAACATATCCGTATGAAATTACACTTATTGAAGAAGGTTCGGTGTTTGTTTCAAGCAGCTACGGAAGTCAGACATGAACTGTTGTCTTTTATGTAAAATCCTTTTATTTTTGAATAAGGCAGTAAAACTGCTTTAAATACAATAAAAGATAAGTTAACAGTCTAAGCAATTAATTTTAAAAGGTCGGTCTGTGGTCAGATTTTAATTACATCTGAAAGGCCACCAAAAGCCAAGCAATTACAAGCATTACAAGTAACCATATACTCTGAAACACTTTATTTTACCTTAATTCCATTTCTCCAGAGCTGATTTTCCTCCAGACAACAGAAGGCTGGTTCTTGCTCGGGTACACGCTTAATGGATGTGTCAACTTCGACTGTCGTGTCAGTAAAAACTTGTATTTAGGTGTGCAAAGCTGCAGTGAATGCCACCTGTTGACGATTCAGCAGTAAAAAAAATCATATAAAAGTCTGTTCTGTTTTAAAACGTCTTAAATAAAGGATAGTTTACAACAGCAAAATGCAGATCTTGCTGCATGTCCTTGGCAATAAAACAAGCTTTATAGATTCCCAGGGTTGTTCTAATTTGTGTGCAGTTGAAGTGCTGCTGAACAGCCTTATAAGGCTAGAATTAACCCCGTTTCTGCTGGTTTCTTTTTTACTAGAACTAGTGAAGCATCTTTCCTCTCATTATTTGTCAGTTTTATTTTGCCTAATGTTCATTTCACCCTCCTTTCTGCCTCTAGCATTTTTTCAAATTATATAGTCCATTCAAACCTACAGCTATGCTGATCAATAATTGAGATTTATTTGCAAATTGTAGCTAACCATATCTTACAGAGCTATAAAGCAATAATTACTGTTATACATGGTATTTTTTAAAAGCCTCTGGACAATCTAAAGAGAGATATTTGATTGAGAGAAATCTAACAGCTGAGAAGGGTCATTTGCTAAACTGACAATATAAATTTCAGTTTTCCTACCTTCAAGTCGATCCCGTTTTGCCTGTTTGTATTAAAATTTTCAGGTACACATCATCATTCTCACACTTCTTAGAATTGCTCAGCTCAAAATCACATGGATAAAATAAGCTTATTTTGCAGAGCATGTGGAGCCTCAGTCTTGCATAAAAACACCAGTATTGCAGGTGGAGTTTTGCATTTCATCTGTAGGGGGGAAAAAACTACTTGACATTTCCAGAAACACCACCTACTGGTGGCCAGAATGCTTGGAACGGGAAGAAAGTTAAACCTTTCTCATAAGAGAAATATTTTATTTGTGTAAGTTGTTTTTTATGATTATATTGATCTGATACCTGAATGTTAAGTGGCATGAATGGATATGCTGTACATTGATGCAGCATTCTACTGCTACTGGAATAAGATGAATTGGATCTCAGCATTCAGGATTTTGAGAAGACAATGTTACAGTTTCAGAAGTGTGGAGTAAAGAATTAACATGTCATTATAATGGATGTGTTGCATATGTTACAGTGGTCAAATATTTTTAGATTACAATAGATCTCGTATGTAGAAAAGTGAAGCAAAATGTCTTTACAAAAGTGGCTTTGGGACTAGAAGGCACTTTGCCTTCTAGTGCCAGCAAGGCAAATATATTATTTACTGATTTTTTGTAACGCACTGTGCGTAGGAACACAGGATTTTGGCAGTGTTACTCAAAATGTTTTTTAAGGTGTTCTTACGTGATGGCTCTTCATAAATAGTTTTGGAATAGATTATTACTTAGCTTAAAGGAAAGTTTGCACAAATTAGCGTTGGTGAAGATTTTCTGGACTTCCACTGTGTGTGGATTGGCTTTCTGGAGTATCTTTCTACAGGGTTATGAGGGCAGAGAGCCTAAAGTGTTTTGCTTTGGGAAGTGTACAAATATGATTGCGTTATAGGACTGGAATAATTGTAATGTTGGAAAAATCTTGTGATACCAGCTTTGAAGGTCTTAATTTTTTGCTGTCCCAAAGAACAGCATTATAAAGAGTCTTTATTGTTGTTTGTTGATCATGTGGTTTTGCTGTACTTAATTCTGTCCTTCAGAGCTTTCACTGATCTTGTACGGGCCAGAGGGATTTTTTACTTTCCTTTATGTGTAATGTTAGCTTCTGGGTGTTAGTTGTTTGTAATTATGGGGGCCTGGATTTGATAATCATCTGGTCTGTCTGTCCTTGTTTTCCTAGCTGTGAATATCAGCTGATTTGCTATTAAAATGTATAATTCTTGAGTGCTAATTTTCTTGTTTGAATTAATGATAAGAAATATGTCACTGTGCCATGCTTCCAGAATTGTTAGGAAATTGTCTTTTGAAAGACCCACAAAGTAGCTGTTTTTCCTGCTAGTGGAACTACGAAATATAAGAGGACAAATCTAGTATTATTATATTGTATTTTTATATTGTAATCAGTGAGTTCTGTATTTCACTAAATATATTATGAGATGATCATGTGAATCCTGTTTCCTAAAACAGATGACAACACCTTCAGGCTCTTGTTTATGCAGTCAAATTATTGTTACTGATTAATCTGTCTTAATCTCACCGTTCATCACTTCCATATTCCATAAAATGCTTAAAACTAATTTTAGCAGCTTCTGGTACCCTTTCCCTGTCAGTTGCTGATATTCCATGGGGACTTTATAGGGAGTGCCTTAATGATCCATACTTATTCACAGTTGCGAGAGTATTAAGTATTACAGTTCAGCCTGATGTACCTTATCTCGATTGTTGCTGAGAACGTGTGAAAGCAACTGGTGCGATAGCGTTCATATGATGTCAGACCTCAATAATCCAGCATTTAAAGTTTTCCTAGCAGTTTATTTTTAAATCTGTAGTAGTCAATATACACGGAATATCGTCTATTAGGTATAATTTAGCAGACTTCGACATATGCGCCTGCTATTCTGTTGCAAAAGGGTGACAGCTGAAGAGGAAGAAAGCGGGAGGTGTGAGTATAGGAGAGAACAACGTCAGAGGTCTGGTATATCACAGCTCTTGAGCCACCACTCCACGGCAGCCTCTCCAGCGGGACGATAAGCAGGATAAGCCCTGTAGGATGTAAGAGCTGTTGGGTTCTGTCAGAAGTGTGGAAGTGCTTTGGGTATGAAGCTGTTGAGTCCTGGAGAAATTAGATCAGGGCCAGGGTGTATAAAGCTGAAAGAAAGTAAGGTACTGTATTGCACGGAAGGGGAAGGAAGCATAAATTAAAATTGTGTTGGAATGCTTACAGTGTAACATAACCATATGCAGAAGAAATAAGATTTGTTTAAGAATCTCTATTGAAATTATGTCCAGAGGAAATACAGATGCTGTTGTAATGAAGTCCATGAAGTTTTGCAAGCAGATTCATCTCCTCCTCCAAATTCTCTCTCAACTTTCTATTGGCATGGATGCTGACTCTGACCCTTTTTTAACCACTGAATGACATCTGTCTGCATCCGTTACTCTGTTCTAAAGCACCCTCATACTTTATCCTGTCCAGCCTCAGTAACTTTCCCTGTCTTGCAAATAATCAAACTTAGTTTCAGTTGGAATTAATTGTGTTCTGTGCCTGCAGAAAACCTTGGATAGATTGTATTTTGTGTGTTTAGGCTTTTCAGTTGCCAATAATTCTGAGAATGCATTTTTTTAGTAAAAATAATTTTTAAAAGTTCAGCCTTTTCTTTTGCAGGGACAACACCTGCATCCATTCAAACTATTCTGGTAAAAACTTTTAATTTTTCTTAAAGTGCATATCACAAAACTCTTGGGGGATAATATAAAAATTTTACAAAATTGGACCACAAAATGTTGTATAGTGAAAGATGATTGATCATAGGACTTCAGGCTCTATCCAAATGCGATTAAAAAATAAAATTCATAAAGTATCACTTGTTTTACTTTAGTAGTTGAGTCTGGCAGTCCTTTGCTGGACACTTGTACCATGGAAGTGAAATGTATTCTTTCATTCTAGCCATTAGTGAATCAATTTGTCATGCAACATATATGGTGTAAACATTACATAGAGGATTTATTTTGGCTGAACTGCTTGAGCTTTCACCGTACCCCAGATCTTCTGCAACTACCTCAAAACTGAGATAAATAATGCTGTAGCCCTTTCAGGGTCTTTAAGTTTGAAATCAGAATGTAACTAAGGCCAGGCTTAGTAATACATATAAGGGTGTAGCAGCTTGAGTTATGATTCAAGTGTGCAAATCCAGTCTCTCTTTAGCTCAGATGTTGTTTTGCAATGGGATCAGATCAAATTTGAACCAGCTGGTTCAGCAAAGATGAGTCCTTACTCTCTACATGTTCTTTTCCAAAACACGTTACCAACTCAGAAATTCATGCTTAAACTTAGGCAGCCTGCTGATTTCTCTTCTTTTACTGAATGGAAGGGTTTTTTCAAAAGCAGGCCAAAGTCTTAGAAAGATACGAATATTACCAGTACAGAAGTAAAATATTCTTCTTTGAATTTTCCAGTATATCCCTTTAGTTAATTTTGACAGCGTGCCTATAAAAATATATGCTCTATTTCTGCTGGAACATACTGTTCAAAACTAGGTGAAGCCTGGAAGAAGTAAGTGTTCAACAAAGCTGTTGCTGGCATGGGGGGGGGGGGGGAATCTCTCCGAGCAGGGAAATTTTATTTGGTTCTTAAAAATACACTTCAAATTATTAATAATTTAAAAATTATTACTTTTAATCTTAGCCAAAGCTGCTCTTTTCTTCCTCATATCAGACTATTTAGAATGCATTTTGGGGACTGTTTCTGTTCCTTCCCCTACTGCACATAGGGGTGTTTGCCACCATATTCCATCTAGGTGGATGCAAGTAGATTTTCTCTAGAACTGCACATTCCTTGTCCTGAATTTTAATGTAAGCTCTGAATAACTTTATCAAGAATGATTTAACAAAACATTTCTGTATTACTGTAAGTTATATTAATAACTGAATTACTGTTCTGCATTTTTCAACCTCTTCTCTCCCATTTACCTTTGTTTTCTCCTATTCAGTTACAAAGTCTTTTCGTTGTACATTGAGATTCCTTTATGACTATATAACCAGCCATCCAGAAAATACTCTGTTTTTTCCCACGACAGCAGCCGTGGACAGGGAACAGACCAGAGTACATTCGCTTGGATCTCACAGATGGCAGCCAGAAGCTATACCCAGAAGTACTCACAGACTTGTACAAAGCAGTTCATTCTTGACAAGATGTACTCGTTCCAAAATCCTAGACCTGACAGTAGGCCCCTGCAGGTTTTATTTCTCTGAGACATTTGGTTATGGCTCTGCTTTAGCTGTGTACCTTGCTGAGAGTATCATGAAGCATCCTTCCACCCATGTTGAACCTTCAGGCTCCTTACAGGTGCATTATTGTGATTCACTCACCATTAGACCAGTTTCCAAGTCCCAGCCAACATTAACTAGAGCCAACATTTACTGACTAGGTTTTCTTTTAGGCACCTTTAACAGTAACTCAGGACTCAGAAACAGTACAATATTTATTCTTTCATCCTCAAATATAAAATATATGGAAGCAGTGAATAAAGTAGAATCCTTTATGCATAATTCCCATACTAGAAGATAACCTACTTATCCATGGCGCAGCTGAAGCTATGATACTCTGTCTGAATTGGGATAAACAGCTTGCATCTTCTGACATACTCTTTCACTCAGTCTGTCAGCTTTTTCACCAACGTACAGCTCTTGCAACTCTTCTCTTCAAACTTCTTTCTGCAGGGCTGATCTTTGGTCCGTGTTGTTGAAATCTCCCTCTTCTCAGGTACAAAACAAAACCTCTGATGCCAGCTGAGAAATCCTTTCACAAGTATGAAATTGGCTCTCGTATTCAAAGGAGATCATTCTTATCTATGTACTTCTTTTCTGACCAGGTTCTATAATGATCTGTTTATATGTAGTGTTCTTTAATTATCCATCTGTTCATGCTGGCAGCAGAACAAAATTGAACTGGAAAACAGGCAGACATCCTACCAGTTGATTTTTACATCTTGCAGAAATGTTGATCCTTATGGTCATAGTCTACATATTGCCCTTTATTTGCATGTGATACAGTCATGGTCCATAAACTTAATGACTTGGATGTGTAAGACTAGATCCATATATCTAGATACTAGATCTACCTACTGTATTATTATTGAACAAATGTCCTTTATTCTTCCATTTATGCACTTGGCTGTTGTTTTGCGGAAGGTGTTCCTCTTGATCAATCAGTGCTCACTTTTCTCTGTCTTAGGCAGCCCATGCTGATTTGCGCCAGCCATCCACGCAAATCTGGACCCCGTCAGGAAGACCTTCCAAAGCACAGGACTGCAAAAAAAATCTAGCAGTTCCGTTAGCATCCAGGTGTCATGCAAAGGCTCATATTTAAGCATTAAAGTGGCTTTTCTCAGAAGCCTTCCTTGTCACATCACTGTGTTTTTATAACTTTGCAATCTAAGTCTATGTATTTTATCCAAGATCTAGTACAATTTTGTGCCTTCCCTGTTATTTCCGTTCTCTCCACCTCTATGAGAGGAAAAGCTGAAACTGAAGCCAAATGTGTAAGATGGCTCCTGGCCAAATTCGGTTGCAGTAACAATGTGCTCAAAGCAAGCATTTAAAACTCTGCACCTACATCTCAGCCTGCGTTGGCTACCGATTCTGCAGGGCTACATCTGAACTTCTATCACAGCTGTTTTATTCTCTGATTCAGATTTTTTTTCCCCATTTTGCACCATTTATGAATTCTCATCTAACTGTATGATGCTCCTATCTTGTCTCCAGCAGAGCCCTGATTTCAGTTTGGAACTGGGGCTCTGCTTTTGTTGCCTTCTTAAAAACATGCCTTAGTTATACTGTTCTGGGCTGGCTTTTCTGGTGGTTTTTGTTTGTTTGTTTGTTTGTTTTTTCCCACGTTTTGTTTTGTTTCGTTTTGTGGTTTTTTTAGTTAATATATTATTGAATGTGACTCTTCCAAGGCATGCAACGTCATACTTCTGAATGAACTCATCAAGAATGGCTTAAATCAATAATTGCTGTAAGTCTTAATGCAAAGTTGAAGCTGAGAGTACATTAACAAAAAGCTTTCATTCTTGCACAAAATTTTAATTAGCCATCCTGTTGATTGTTCCAGTTCAGTGCCTCACAAAGCTTTCCTTTATGGACCAGTGTTTCCATTAATTTGAATCTTTTTTTTTTTTTTTTGGCACAAGAGTTGAGACAAAAACCTAAGGGTTCAAACAAAAGTAGAAGAGGAAAATGGAAAAAGGGAAAAAAAGCTCAGTTTGTGTGCATGTATATATATGTAACATAAAAAAAAGTAAGAGCAGACTTACAGTATCACATACTATTTCAGAATCCTAATGTGTCTTAAGCCATACTTCGCTGCTGCTGCTGGAATTTACCAATGTTATAAAAATAAGTAGTTTGTAAAGTAAGAAGTCAAAAGAGGAAGCACACCTGGGAAAATGCTTTGGCTGCAGATTTTTACCTTTGTTCAAAGTTGCTTTCTGCTGTTTTTGTTTGCATCTTTGCTGGGGAATTGATATTATTACAAAAGCACACCTCTATGGCAACAGTACTTTTCTTTCTGCTTGGCTTTGAAGTAACACTTGCAGAAAATAGGTGATTTAAATATATATATGGGCACCCCCCCCCCCCAAAACCAAACAACCCCAGACCCTGCGTGTTTTCTCATAGATCACTGCAAATACTAGAACTAAATGTCCTTTTTTTTTTTTTTTTTTTCCTTCCAGCACTGCTAGCTGTAAGATAGTCCAAGTTTGGGTTCTAAAGAAGGAACAATTATCCTTTTTTGAAAAAGTAAAAAACCAAACCAAAAGCAAAGTGGATTGACAGTTCTTCAGAACAGGAAGTATTACTGAGACCCACTTTCATGGGTCATAGTTGTTACTGGTATTTCAAGGTGATTGTTGGCAGTGTTTTCCCTTCGGCAGTTCTGTATGACTTTAAGTATTTCATCCTTGCATGGCTTATGAAAACAAAGTATAAATACCAAACTAACACAGCTCTCGCAGAACAACACTATTTCTGCAATATTCATCACAAGCTCATTCTTTGGAGTTCCAATGCTCTTCTGTAATTTGAGTGTTGTCCTGAAGAGAATCATAATGTTATAAAATAGGTGGCATATAAATATTGTTATGCTTATAATATACGCAGCAGGGTAAGTACGAATGTGCTGTTGTAAGGCTGGAGCTTCAGCAGGTGCTTTTTTAGCGAAAAGAACAGTAAAACAGAGTATCTGAAGAAATGATGGGATTCCAAATCCAAAGGTGAATTTAATGATCTCATACTCAGGCCATGCAAACAATGGATCTAACTGGCAGTCTGTTTCCAAGTGATAGTTATCTGTGCCAACCAGTACTGCCTCAGTCAGTGACAAACAGAAGGCATATATAAGTACAAATCCAACACACAATATGGGTCTTTGCGTTGCTTTGCTAAGAGCAGTCCTTGGTGGAAATCTCTTGAGTAATAGTATGAGAAGCGTCAAAATCAAAACATGCTGAGAATTGAAATAACTGAAGTTGAAAAAAAATGACAGTATGTTACACGTGTAGTGGGTTGCTTTTAAGTAGTCAGGTCTAGTAATGACAGTAAATGATAAAAAAATCATTATAATGTTGCTGATGGTGAAGTGTAGAAGAAGTAAGTCTAAATTTTCTATGACTTTGTACTGCACATAATTCTTTATGAAAACAATCAAAATACATATGCCAGCTATTAATCCTGTTGGTACAAAAAAGGCGATATAACAGTGCATAAGTCTTGATATGATGTTTTGAGAAGCTATGAAGGCTTCAATTTCTTCTGGGGAGATGAAAGCCAAGTTCTTGCTTGGGTAGCTGATCCACGTCATGTTGTGAGAAGTCATCCTTCCTTCTACACCGTGCTTATTTCCTGTTCAATGGAGTTTGAAACTGAAATGGAAAAGGAAGGTGAAGCAGGTTTTAAAGTACAGTTTGTAATGTCTTTAATTTGTGCGTTAAATATTATGCGCAGTCAGGAGTATGAACCATTTGTTCAGAAGAAATGTAGTAATTTTTTGGGTGGATTTTATGTTCATATGTTAATTTTCAGCTAGCTTGCAAAATATTTTTAGCCGGAGAAATCTGCCTTTTTATTTTTTATCTGGTTCCTGCTCTCACCACTACCCCCTTTTCCTCACTTGATGCAGACAGGACTTTACTGCAGCTCAGCTTTGTAGACAACAGCCAGGATTCAGTGCACTCATGTCGCCTGTAGAATAAATGGAAGAGTTGGCTGTTTGGCAGGTGAGGAAGGAATTGGCTCTGTGATTAGGTGGAGCTGCTTTTCCTCACCATCTTGCCAAAAAAAGATAAGGCAGTACGCAGGGCAACTCTTGTGCGTGGGTTCCAGCTACAGCCACAAAATAGCTTCATTGTACTGTTGCAAGGTTGGGAATTTTGTATAATTTGAACCCAGCTGACAGTCTCGGGGCTCACACTGCATATTGAGGAAAATGCAAAGATAATCACAATATGAGGCAAGAGTCACATTCCTTTCTTTGTTTTAGTTTTGCTTCCTTTCTGTTATGAAAAAAAAGCCTTTCATAACTGCAGTCTGCACTGAGGACCCCATATAAAATTAATGTGGATGTTTAAGAACTGTTATGAACAAACTGCTTTCATACTAAAACATCTTTATACATTAATAATACTGTCATTTTTAGATGTAGCTGTTGCATAAAACTGAAAAAAAAAATGCTTTTCTGCATACATGAATTTGAGAAAATGATTACTGGTGCATTATAAGCCTATTGATAAAGTTTTAGCAAGGGACGTTTTTCTACAGCTGAGTTGTAAATTCCTGAAAATAGGGAATTTTAAGAGTAATATGGATAGGCTGTGAGCTGTAATGACGCTATGATATGTTGATATAATAATTCTGCTACCATATAAGCATTTGGAGGATCCTTTTTTAAGCCAAAAAGCTTTGTAGGAGAGCATAATATGTACTCATGAAAAACTTGAGTGTAATAGATATGGATATATAAATTTTACAGACCACCTAAAAGCATAATGAACTCAATTTCTAAAAGAAACTTTTGTGTTCCTTGTACTGATTGATGCAGAAAATAACATATTTTTGGTTTTTAGTTACAAAGGATAAATATTTTTAAACATAAGGTAATGAACTCACTATTCCTAATTAATTTTGAATATCTGATTAAGGTTCTTAGTACTGGAAAAAGTTAAATACATAGGCATTTTTACAGTGTAGAATGTTGTTCTCTGGCAAAAAAAAAAAATCCTTCTTTATTCACAAGGATTTAAGTTTTGTGTTAGATTTGAGTTTAGTGTTTTTACTTTGTTGTGTGCAAAGCTGGTCTGTACAAGCAATGTACATAGACAGTACATCAGGCAAAGACAGAGCAGTGGAGTTCTTATAGAAGTTTCTATACAGTTGTATTAGTAACAAGACCGATATACTTAGTTGTACATGATGCATTTTCCATAAAGGGATTCTGGTGATGTTAACTCTTAAAGTGAAAGTAACTTTAAATTGGTAAAGTTCATAAAGATGCATTAATGTTTTTAACCAGTGTTCATTATAGATAAGTCAGTGTCTTAATACTCTTTGACAGTTCATTTATGGTTGTTACCTCTGACACTACTTCATATTTCTGATATTTCTAATCTCTCCTCAAAATTGGAATTCTAATACTGGTTTTAATTAGAAAAGTTGACTTATCAAAGTGGCTTGATTAAGTGTGTATATAATCTTATATAATTATAATTTCATTTATATAAAACTGTGGAGTTATGTTTTGATTCAGCACTGTTCTTTGTCCTATTTTAGACATGGTTTCTTCCTTTCTAGAAAAGGTTATTTTTGGAGAGATTCCACTACAGGAAGGACTGACGCACCCAGGCAAGATTTTTTTGTGCTACAGGTACACTTGCAGGAGGGGAAAAGTTGGCTGGTCAAACTCTGGCTGTGTTCTAACCTCTGAGCTGGAGTACACCATGTAGGAAAGCATTGATGGGCAAAACTGGTGGAAGTCTCTGAAGCAAATTAAGAGTCAGTATAATTTTGAAGCTTAAAAATAGATTGTTAAATATGACCAATCTTAAGAAAAGTGGAGTGAAAATCTTTTCAAAGATGATAGGAGTTGGGAGGAAATATTGTTGTCCTGTTAATTGAGGAAATGTATCTTAAATGCTTGCAGTAGAGCTTTTGTTTCTGTTCAGCTGATTTTTAGTATGAACCACTAAGAAGGACTCAAGTTTGTACTAAAGTGCTTACATTGAAGAGGGAGAATAATTAAAAAGAAAAACAAACCCCAAACCACACATGCAAAACCTGACAACTGTAGTCAACTGGCTGGCCTTTTGTATTTCTTCATACTAGTGATTTCCCCCTTCTAGATTTTAATTTCAAAGTATCTCTCTTGAAATAAAGGTGATCAGTCTGATTTCTAAATTACATTCCATGCTTAATACTAAAGCACGGGGGGGGGGGGGGAATATTTGAATTTCTCATTAATGAAATAGCACAAGTACTCTCTACTTCCCGTTGTCTCTATGGCTGAAAGTGATCTACTGTGCTATTCAGTCAGCTGCAGCCATGGAGCTTGACAGACTTACTTCTTCTGGCTTCTTTCTGCTGTTTTGATTTCTCTTTATTTCCTGGGAATCTAAAGACCATGAAATTCTAACTTCTACGATTGATCTCTTAAATACTCAGGAGAAATCTCAAGAATGAAGGAAACTGTAAGTAAAATTTTGGCCTTCTATTAGAAGAGAGGTTTGAAGCTTAATCTGGTGAAGGATAGGTACTTTGTGATGGATAGAGAAAGAGAATGTGGGACCACTTGAGCATCTGCAGAAAGCTGCTTGTTACCATCCTACACAGTAGTTTCAGGAGGTTAAGAAATATTTACACTTTGAGCTCTTCCACCAGAGTCTCCAGCGTAACCTTCTAGTCCCATCAGGCCTTTTGCAGGGCTGAACATTTGAATTTAGTTCTGGTATTGTGAAAGTCTCCATTATCTTCTCAACAACTTTTACATGATGGGCCAACTAACCATGCTTGGTGTCCTTGCAGAGAATCTCAGAGTAGCTTAGCAACATTGGACTTTTATGGTAGCATAATTGCAAAGGCAACAAAGGACATAGTTTAGGGTTTCCCAGGAAATCATATGGCCTTACATCAAACTACAGGAAAAACAAGATGCCAAAACTTGGTTAAATTTGCTCAGGATCTGGCCTTGGTACTGATAACTGGGTTCAACTTTAACCATAGCAAGGTATTTTTTATTTTATTTAGCTACTCTTTGGGCATTTAAGACAAAGTAAGGAACATTAGACTTAATGCAGCATATTCCAGTAGTTGCAACGTACTGTGTAAGTAAGTGCATCATCTTGGTTTCTCTTTCTGTACCTGCCAGTTTGCATGTTGTGATATTTAACGATGGACCAGCACAGTATTATGGAGACGCTACCGATGTGTTTAGGCCTCATTTGTCACAGGTGTCAAGGAATGCCTGGAATAGTTTCATTTGGGTTACAACTCTTGTTTATAACCACAGACCATTATTTAACATTACTGTTAAATAATAATGATGTTAATGTCACTCTTGCTCTCCACCTAGACGTTGTTATTCTAACATAAGCGTGTGTCTTTTAACTTGCCTCATCTGGGGAGAGATTTAAACTAAAGAAAAGCTATTCAATCTAGAATTAACATACTCACTTGGGGGGAAATAACAGTGCAACTATATGTATATGATTATAATCAGTGTAAGTATTAAAATTCTGACTTAGGGAAAAATTTCTACATGTGCTGTTTTAAAGGGAACTTCCAGAAAAACACCTTAAGGTTACCCACACAAACAAAATTTTAACAAAACAAGCTGTTTGCAGCTATGCTACAGTTAGCCAGTATGAGCATAATGCTTGCTTGAATTCAGTAAAGTGTTCATCACAGAAGAAAAAATATCTGCTAGCAGTTTGTAGCTTATTCTGAAATATTTTTGGTTTGGCAAATAAGATTAAAGTTAATGCTGTAGACGTTATTTCCCCCCCCCTTAAATTATTCCTAGAAGTTTTTATTCTGCTTTAAAAAAAAAAAAAAATCACAATGATAATGTCAGACTATTTTCTTATTTGGTTCTGGTGTCTCACTAAGTATTTGAAAGAGAACAAATGGCAATTTTGAGTTCAGATTGTGGTAGGAAAGGCTCGTGTGCAGGTGGCTGCAATCAAACATGCCTAATACTTTGTACAAGCTAATACATGTACATTCGTCTCTCTAACATGGTCATACCACCTAGATATATATTTCTGACTTATGACCTTATCCTACAATCTAATTTTTTTTTTTTTTTGCAATATTTTGTCTCTTCATAGCTATTTCAGTGAAACTTGAGGCTATATAGCACTTTACAAGATGTATTGGTCATCACCTCATGAAGTCACTGCATTAGGGTTTTCTAGCTGAGATTATAAATTGAACCCAGTCAGAAAAGTCTGACTTCTTTGCAGCCTCTGCAGCTGCTTGATTGAATATAGTCACAGATGGCATAACCTCTCTATACATTTGTTTACATCAGAATGGATAGCTTTAGAAAGTCTTATGACTGTAAGGTGCTCATCTGTCATGTAAAGCAACTCTTAGAAATTGTAAGCCTTTACAGTTTTAAAACATTCCCAAAGTGTTACGTTCATTCCTTACACTAAAGTAAATGTATGCTTAGAATAATAATGGGATGAAGGAGCTCACAACTTTTGCTGTAGTAAGATGAACATATTTGCCAATTTTTATAGACTTTTGGTAGTACTAATTTAATTTAAAATAAAAAGATATGTTCCATGGGAGCAGCAGAGCACCGGAGAGTTGTTTATTTCTCACATCTTTTATTTCATAATCTCCATGCAGCCAACCACATTTTTTGTCAAAATGCTTTGAGTTTCCATCATAAAAAAAATAAGGAATTTATTATGTCATTTTCCTCTGCTGTGAGAAAATCTGGTATTCCCTCAGTTCTTGCTGGTTCTTGGATTTACTGCAGGGACATAAATTTTATTTCAAACTGCATGTAATGTTTATGCTGTGCTTGGTGGGGGGGCTTGAGTCCTTTACTCTTTTAGTGGAATCTGTCAGCTTAGAGTGCAAACACCTCGAGACCTGAATTAATTTAATTTTTCTCACAACATACTATGACATAAACTGACTTTGTTATTTCTATTTACTCACCGGTAACTGAGAGTAATATATAGCATGTCAAAGCTCACATGTATTGAAGCTATGGCAGAAGCCAGGCCTATTCCTGTTTCTCCTCAGATTAATTAATGAGGGAAATTTGCAATATGCTACTTGCATTATCTTTTTCTGTATTGTCATGTTCCAATATTTTGTCCCTTTTTTTTACCTTTGCTCCTCCTCACTTTGTTTTAATTGACCATCATTCACACATGAATCCTTAACTTCATGTGGCCCCACTTTTTTCTTGGCTTTTTTTCTTTTTCTCTTTCTGGCCCTGTTTCCCCACTATCATCTGCTCTGCCTTTTGTGTCAGCAGTTGAAGCAAATACATTTCATTTTTACTTTCTGAACCACAGCAGATAACGTTATCCTTCACTTCCAACAGATGGAGCTGAGCAAATGAGCATAGTGTTCAGCAGGCAGTTTAAAAACAGCAAGTTGTGAAAAGACTACTTTCAGTACCGAGAGCACCTAGTCTCTAAGATTTCCTTGCTTTTGGTCCCCCATCCCCACTTTGATGGTTACCTCTTGCAAATGGAGAGCTTGGTTTCAAGGAAACTTTTGTTTATTTCAAGTCTAGAAAGAAGAGCTCCTAAAATGGGGAGTTTCTCCCTGGCAGCCAGAACTCTTCCTCTATAAAAGGTTTGGCAGGGCAGTCTTTCTGCATTCTGTCACCAGCCTTTAGAAGGAAAATATTCTTTCATCCAGTCATAAAGCAATACGCATAATATTGCTTGTGAAACTCTGCTCTTGGTGGACGTGTCCTGCATCAACCCATGAAACACTGCATATAATTTGGGGGGTGAAATTGTCCTCTCTGTTCGTAGTATGTCTGCCAAGTTAAAAGATGGGGGCAGCTTGCAGTATATGAAAGACTGAAATGTAAAATACTATATTCATCTTTCTTGTAACGTCAAAATTCCTACACGTGAGCAAGTATTTGTGGTTGTAAAGATTTAAGAAATCCTCCCCTTCTGAAAAACTATCCGTTTCTGAGAAACCGAAAGCTTTTATTTTTACTTTTCCAGAATATAAATGAATCAGCAGTAACTGAACATAATCTCCAAGCAGCATAGCTGACGTGTTTCCTGTCCTATACAATTCCTGCAGTGTGGTTAGGATTATCCCACAATGTCCATCCTCTAAAAGACTGCTCTTAGGCAATGGTTGGAGTCTTTTGTCCAGACCACTGACCAGTATTTCATCATCTAGCTATCATCAGTTCAATGGGAGTGAAGTACTTACCGGAAAACAGTCTTCACATTTACTCTGTTTAATGCTCACCTTTATTATAAATTTCAGCTTTTTTATAAATTTCAACTTTCTGAGGATGTTTCCCAGATACAGTATTTTACTTTGTGTAGTTCAAATGTTGTTAAAGAACGGATAACTAAAAACTTTAAATAATAGCCTTAGCTTCACAATTTGAGCCTCTTGTGATGAATAAAACATTGCATTTTCAAAGTAATATAAAGCACTTACCTTTTCAAGAAAATGCTCCACAGATACAATGGGCTGAGACTTCACCGTGAATAGTCAGATGAAATACAATTATTGTTTGGAGCATATAGCCCTTTTTATTTATGTAGAAAGCTGGGTGTATATATTACAATAACTTCTTTAGCTGCTGTACATCAAGATGAAAAATCCAGACGCTCGCTGACTACAAAAACATACAGTTCTGTAAAGGAAACAGGAACTTGGTTTAGGTCATTCAAACCATACACGTTGCATGTTTAGCAAACCTATGGTTTCATCATGTGACTTTAAAGTTCAAATTATCCTCTGCAGTGAGATATTTTAGAACAGAAAAGTAGTGTTTATCCCTGCCATTTCTAAGTATGTGAGGCCATCCAGTGGATTTTTTTTTCCTGTTCATGAAGTAATCCTACGCGTATTGGCCAGCCTTTGCAATTACATTTTTTTCTAGTGTGCTGTTTTAACTGCTAGAGGTCTAGGAAAGGAACAGCCTGTTGAATAAATACCAAGCAAGGCCCCTTGCTTAATAAGACAAAAACTCGACACAAAAGTAGTGTATGTCAAAAATATTAAGATCCCTTCTTAAAAATAGGGTATATTGCCATTTTTCCATGGGTCTTGGCTCTTAGAACGCTCCCAGTATTGTACATATGTAATAAATTATTTTCCCAGATGCTCTGCAATGACCATGAGGTGTTAAAAGACAGGATTTTGAGTCTGTAGTATGTTTTGGGTCTGGCTCAGCATCAGTTTTCTTAGTGACTATGTTGAATAGTGTTCTTAAAACCTCAGATATAAATGAGCAAGAAAGGGTTTGCTCTTGTTTGGTGTTTTTTTTTTTTTTTTAGTGCATGCAGCCTTGCTGTCTGGAATGCATTGGTAGCATCATGTTTTCTCATACCAGCACATGGGGAAGAACCATTTTTATTGTAATCTTTTAATAATCTGCAGTGACTTTCATAGGTTGAGAAGGTAACTCGTGAGCAGTGTTTGATCAGTGCTCTGTTTTCACAGCAACTTACTTGTTGCACTTTAACAAGCTTCACTGAAAAATATGTGGAAAGAGCCAAAATGCTTCAAAGAAATGAAATGGGACAAATGTGTATGAGTCCAGATTTCAAAATTGGAGTTGTGGGTTACCTGGAGAAAATGTTTCAGCATTAGGTCTACATTTCCCCCTGAAGTTTAGCACTACTGCTCCAAATACTTTTTTTGAAACAAGAGATGCACGTGGAGGATCTTGGGTTGCAGCAGTGGCCCAGAGGCATTTCTGCTTTCAGGCTGAAGGTGCGTGTTCTTTGTGAAGTAGCTGGGCTCCAAAACAGCTCTGCTGTAGCTCAGTGGCTCTGTGAAATGTGGTTTCCAGTGAGCTTACACATGTTATTCAGAATACTGTAATTCCCATACTGACTTTGGTTTTGATCCTCCTAGCATAGCAGTTTGTTGGAGTCCGTAGATTGTTTTCCTTTTATTTACAGTAATTCCTCCAAACTGTTACTGAAAAACTTGGATAAAGCTGGCAGTGTAGTGTGTGTGTTTTGTATATAGCATTCACTTTTGAGGTGTACCCAAATCCAGGTTTATTTTGTTGGTATTAATTTCTCATAGTTAAGAATGGTGAAGAAAAAATACACATTGTAATCATATGCAAGTCAGGTGATACTTTTTTTTTTTCCTGTTGATTTTTCATGAAAGATGCAAATTTGAAGTGTCACCTTATTCTTTCTAGGACTTAGGGCTGTGCAGAGAGCACACTAAACTACATAAGCATAGTCAAACGATTGTTTTTGAAATTGCAGTAAAATTTCAGAAAGTATTTGCTCATTAACTGGTAGGTACTAACTTGACTTTTTAGCTTCCAGAACGGATGAAGTGTGCCCATGAGGCAATGCTAAACAGGTATGGCATCGGTTTGTTGCTGTACTTTCCACTGAAGTGGTGTGAATAGACGCATGATTGATAACCATGGCTCTGCTGGGGGGCAGGGAGGGAGTAAAATTATTTCTTGGCTGAGAGCCACCAGCAAACAGCTGGGTTTTGTCCTTTTTTTGAAGTTGCATTGGGTGGATGTACACAAGGTTATCTGGCTGTGCCCTCTGTGATTATTAGTAAAATAAAAGCAAATCAATGGCTGCACCAAAAGTTTAAGGAGTATTCAAACCACTCTTTACAAAGGTTTAAATTTTTCTGAGTTAGCAATCAGTGAGCAAGGAGTAACTGAAGTGAAGATAAACTCTTAACACAGCAGCGTTAAGACTCGCTTCCTGTTATTCAGTAACCTCCTCCCTGACAATGCAAGGTGTAGTAGAGCAGAGAGCTCCAAGGGAACTTACCCTCTAATGAGAAAAACTACATAAATAGAACCAGAAAAGCAAAAAGAGGAAAGCTATTTCTTATGCCTCCCATCTTTAAAAAGAAAAATAAGCTTAGAGAAAGCTCCCATCTTCAAGATTATGTTCACATTTACAAACATTACATCATACTTTGACTGAAATCTGTATTAAGCCTCATTATTCAGTGGTATTTAGAGGGCCAGAACATTTATCATACTTTGAATCAGGAGCAAGTAGCACGTTACAATTCCAGAATGTGTTCAGAGAATCGTATCAGAAGGTACCCCCATTTTACAGGTAGAGAAACGTGGTTACTGAGAAATGTGTTCTTCAAAGTGGATGGAATAAATTGGAAGCCAGAGGAGAAATAGAGGTTAGAAAATCAAGGTTTCCCAACTCTGTATTCTTTATTCTGTTTAGACCATGCTGATTCCCATCTTGATAGCTGCAATTCTGCCTCCTCTGTGGAAACAGACAAAACTTAGTCTGAGGTATCTTAACAGCTATATGGTGTGGTTTTGGCAGCAGCTCACTGTGCTGTTATTGTCACAGTTAATGCGTTACTAAAAGCAAAGCAAGATATTGCTGTTGTGTGACCAGCTGTGTCTTTCCTTAAACAATAAAACAGTTTAGTTAATTTACTTAAATGATCACAGGGTGCAAGTCATGTGAGAACAATGGCAAACAGACTACTGTTTCGTTGTAGAAACGTTTCATAAAACTGCAAAAAATGGCGTTTAACGGACTGTGTTTGGGATGATGCATAATTTTACTATTATGTTTATTAGTGATTTATGGATTTATTTCATGGTGATTAGTATGTATTAGTATACAGGCTCTCAGTGGAAAAGGTTGATGTATGATAATGATGTTCTGGATAAGGCAGAGGCAGGAAAGGTAGAAGTTGCAGAATTTAAATAATTGTGAGATGCTGTGACAGTATTTAAGGATTGGCTGATAACACATACAATTCCACTAGCCATCTATAGTATGCTGTGGTGGGCAAAACTCTTGTTTATTTTTTAACACATCTTATTGTTCCTATGGCAAAATAAATATATCTAGTACTGAGTGACAGATGTTGTTATAAAGAAAGCAGATGTGAGCCACTTTTCTTCTGACCAAACCCAATAATTTCTCTTAATTGACCAATATTACTGATGTGTTTAGCAGAGTACAGATCCCTGACAGTAGGTTTCATTTGAAGGGAAGTCTCTTTCTCTCGTATACATGTATGCCAGATGAGAGAAACTTCTCCGTCTTCCATAACAAACATCGTTCAATGCTTCTGGCTTGTGAGATGCTGAAACCATGGAGAATTCAGTCTTTTTATTCTCTGGCTTAAAGCAGATCCATCCAGTGAGGTATTACGGAGGTGGTGATTCTGTCTTGCTCACCTTCCTTCTGAATTATGGTGGTCAGTTGTTCAGCAGAGAGTCGCAACATTCAGTTGAGCGGAAAAGCTCTTGTTTGCTTGGGTGCAGCATCAAATAGCCACAGTCATCAAGGACAGAAACCAAAGGCTGCAGTAAGCTTGCAGTTAGTCTAAGGATTGGACTGGATTGCTCTGGGGTCATTATTATTGTTAGGGAGCTAATACTGCATGAGAAGCCTGAAGTCTGTTTTTTAGCCTATGCTGTTGTCTTCTGCTCTCAGTTAGGATATCTTTTCTTGCCTTTTTTATGTAATGCTATTAAGAAAACTGTCCCTGTGTAGTATGATAGGATTGTTTTGGAATATTAAATGGCTGTTATTGTCCATTCCCAGGTGTATTATGATGAAAAGCAATTGCTGTGTTACTGGAATTTTGAATTGTGAAATAATCTACAATTTTTTTCGAAGATCTTTCCCATAAACTACTGTGTATTTCCATCTTAATTCTTCCTCTAGTGTTGTTATATAACAAAAAACCCCAACTTGTGTGGGATATTAGCTACAGAGTTAGTCAAAGATTGCTTTGACTCTATTCAAGGGCTGAGCTTACATATTTGAAGCTTTTCTTGGTGGCATTTTAGCACCTTAAGGCTACTTGTATTAATGCAATAACTCAAAATTCCTGAAAAAAAATATTTTTTTTGAGAAGAGCATCTCTTCTAAGGCTTTTGTTACATTGATGTATAGTTGCTAGTCACTCTGTAAAATTGTTCTTGTGAAAGGTCTTGCTTTTAATTTTATACATGTTTAGTCTTTTTTTTGCTTGACAGCAAGCAAATTTGCATCCTTGATTAAACCACCATGGAAGATTAGGCCTTTGACATAAAAAAAAAGGGGGGGGGGGAAGCAGGGAAGTTGTACATAAACCCAAGAATTGCTAGCTTGAAGAAAGTTAAAGGAATTTTGTTTGAGGATGAATTTTAGAATAAAAAAACCTTGCATGTATTATATTCCCTGTATGTTTGGTTTTGTGAGTGTTTTTTGAGTGGTTTTTTTTTTTTTTTTAATGGAATTCAGATGCTTGTGCTGATTTGTAAGGTACATGGAGCTATGTGAATTTGTAAAATTGGATAGTCTTACTGCCTTTCCTTGGAACTCTCTGCTTGGACAGGGTTAAAAAAGCACAAGTTGGAAATGTGTATACATAAGCACTGGTATTAATAATTACCTATGCCTCAGAGGCTGGTCGTAAATCAGCATTTCTTCCTTTTATTCTAGAACAGCCATGCTCTGTGCTGTGTGATTCCTGCCTTCACATCTCAGGGTTGCTTGCCCATGATTCGCTATTAGTGATTTTATACTGGCTTATTTGGGCACTGTTTGTAATGTAAGTTGTTTTATAAACCCCAGTATTTTATTATTATTACT